TTTTACATGTTGGAGCTACGGCGTTTGATTCGCATTCGTTTTCTCAGTGAACCCTTTCATTTGATACCCATATTGTAAAAAGCATTAAAATCTTAGTCCAGCATATTTAGAAGTCCGCCACATCGAATTGAGAGTGACATCACTTAGTTTTTCGGATTACTTTCAACGAGCTCTTTCATTTGATACCCATATTATAAGAGTGCATCAAAATTAACTTGCCGGCCATCTTGGGTATTCCGCCATATTGGATTTAGAATAACCACTTACAATCTAACATGCATTGTCATCTGAGTTAAACGTGTTTACAAAATTTCAGCTCAATCGGTTGAGGACATCTGCTTCAAAGTTGAGTTGCAAGATTTGACCCGAACAAACATTTTTACTTCCTTACTTCCTTACTTACATACACTGCAAGTTAAATAAAAGCTTTTAAAATGGCTATTTTCATCTAAAAGTTCATGAAGACTCAATCCCATATACTTCTTTTGTGACTCCAACAGGGCAGTATGAATTTTTAAGAGCCCCATTCGGGATTGCAATCTGCCCAAAAGTTTTCACTCGGTTTATTAACATAATCTTTCGAGACCTTATCATGAAGGGTAGTGTGATTATATTTATCGATGATTTGTTAATTCCAGCTGAAACTGAGAGAGAAGCCGTCGAAAGATTAGAGGAAGTGCTGAAGAGAGCAGCGGAATATGGCCTGGAGATTAATTGGAAAAAAAGTCAACTGATGGTGCGGAGAGTTGAATACTTAGGACATGTAATTGAAAATGGGGAAATCAAACCAGCTCCAGGGAAAACTGATGCAGTCTTACGATACCCAGAGCCCAAAGACCTTAAGCAGCTGCATAGTTTTATTGGGCTGTGCTCTTATTTCAGAAAGTTCATTGAGAATTTTGCCTCAATAGCAAAGCCATTGACAGATTTATTGAAGAAAGACGAGAAGTTTTGCTTTGAAAACATACATAAAGACAGTTTCAACACTCTCAAAAGAAAACTGGCATCAGCTCCAGTACTGAAGATTTTTGATTCACGGTTGCCAACAGAACTTCACACAGATGCCTCCAGTACAGCCTACTCTGCCATACTGATGCAACGCAGTGCTGAGGATGGTGAACTTCACCCAGTCCATTATCTAAGCCGAAAGACCACTGATGCAGAAAGCAGATATAGCAGCTATGAATTGGAAGCATTGGCAATTGTTGAGGGAATTAAGAAGTTTAGGCACTATCTGTTTGGAATTCATTTCAAATTAGTTACAGACTGTAAAGCTTTCGAAATGACGCTGAAGAAAAAAGATCTGGCAATGTCAACAAGAGTTGCGAGGTGGGTCATCCTACTGCAAGACTATGATTTCGAAGTCGAACACCGAGAAGGAAGCAAAATGCGTCATGTTGACGCCTTGAGCAGGCACCCCTATGTTGCTGTCATTTTCTCTGATCTTCGTGACGGAATAAAGTATGCCCAGGAACATGATAACAGTTTGAAGGCTATAATAGAAATCTTGCAGCATAATGCCTTTGAAGACTACTCTTTGGATAATGGGATGCTTTATAAAGGGCTAGAAAAAAAGCTGGTCATACCTAAGGCGCTGGAAAGCGAGATTCTTAAAAGAGCACATGATAATGGGCATTTTGCCAAAAATAAAATGATGCACATCATTGACAAAGATTATTACATACCTCATTTAGAGAAGAAGATTGAAGAGTATCTGTTGACATGTGTACCATGCTTATTGGCCAATAGGAAAGCAGGTAAACAGGAAGGGTTTTTAAATCCAATCAATAAGGAAGATGCTCCTCTGCATACCCTACATCTTGATCACCTTGGGCCAATGACTGAAACTAAAAAGCTATACAATTACATCTTGACTGTGGTAGATGGGTTTACAAAATTCACTTGGATATTTCCCACTAAGAGCACAACCAGTAAGGAAACTATAGACAAGATAAGAATCCTCCAGCAACAGTTTGGAAACCCAGCTAGATTTGTAACAGACAGAGGCTCAGCTTTTACTAGCACCGAATTTGAGGAATACTGCAAAGATGAAGGGATCCAGCATGTTAAAATTACCACTGGCATACCACGAGGGAATGGGCAAGTAGAGAGGATGCACCGAACCATCATTTCAATCCTAACAAAATTGTGTATTGAAAATCCTACCCATTGGTACAAGTATGTGAGTAGAGTGCAAAGATCTCTGAATAGTACTCATCAGAGAAGTATAAACACCTCCCCATATGAACTGCTTACTGGGACAAAAATGAGAAACAAAGAAGATATAGAGCTCTACAATCTGATACAGCAAGAAACTATTGAGAATTACATTGAAGATAGAGAGAAATCTAGAGTTCAAGCAAAACAACAGATATTGAAAGTTCAAGAGGAAAATTCTAAACAATTCAACAAAGGCAGAAAGTGCAGTCATGAATATGCTGTGGGAGATGTCGTGGCAATAAGAAGAACACAGTTTGGTGTAGGCATGAAGCTCAAACCTAAATATTTAGGTCCCTACAAAGTCACTTGTGTCAAGGGAATGACCGATACGAGGTAGAGAAACTGGATAGTATGAAGGAAGGCCCTATCAAGACTAGCTCTGCTGCAGACTCCATGAAACCTTGGCCAGCACCTGATGACTATAATAGTGAGTAGCCACCTGCTCATTCCCATGTTTGATTTCATACCATTTTATTGAGATATACTTACTGTTGCTTTCCAATTATGATCCATGGCCATAATGTTGGTGTGCACTTTACTAACTATTGAATTTACCTAAACATGCATTTCCTAGGTTTTAAGTTTTAATTTGTATTTAACCCACTAAGGAGCTTTTTCACTATGCTTTATAATTGGTGTTTGCCAATATTATTAAATATAGTTATGTTGTTTAGATCTAGGTTAAAGATCTCATTACTGTTTAGTTTAGCCACATACTGGTTTTGCTCGTAGGACATCCCAAGTGATGTGTTCGATTGTGAATGATGCCAAGAGTATACCTACTTTATATGTGTAATTGCCCGGTTCTGTCTAGAATATAGTGATGTAATAGTCTGCACATACTATATGACCACCTTGTTTATACTACTCGTAGGACATCTTAAAGATGTGTTCCATAGTGAATGATGCCAAGAGTGTATAACTAACCCTTTATGTAAAATTGCTTGCTGACTTCTTTAAATAATTGATAAGTTTAGTTACTATAGGTATTGTGTTCCTGTGGGAACTTAGGGCGTTAATGTGCAATCTGTAATTTGCAATATTGCTTGTTGATTTGTACCTACTTACAATTATTGTAATATGTTCCTGTTACTATATTCTTGAAAAACATGCTAATGTGTCTAGCTATAGTTACTATAGTCCGACAAGTTCGTGCGCGACCTTCCCTAGGATGACAGGCTTGGGGGGGGTGATGTCAGCGGGTAGCGGGAGGTGTAGCGGGGAAGGGAGACGTGCGCATCCGCGCCGCACGTCATATTAAAATGACGTGCTTCCTCGCCCCCCCACCGTCTGTACCCAGCAGGAAGGTCGTGCACGAAGTTGTCGAGCTATAACTAGTAGTGTTACTTACTCCATTAGTTTGTCTGAGGTCAGACTCACTGCAGGATGGCCGAATGTGAGAAAAAATAAAAATGAACGGAACGTAAGAATGCTGAGTGAAAGGGAACGGATGTGTGTGCGAGAGAGAAAGGGGATACGAAAAAAAGATGGACGAATGTGTCGTGGTGAAGATTTTGTAAAATTCTAATAAGACAAATAAAAGCAGTATTTTCGTAGTGAAAATTGGATTTTATTCAAATATACGAGCCCACATGTATGGATCAGAGTGTTGGCCAGCTAAGGTGACGGATGAAAAACGACTGCATGTAGCTAAGATGAGAATGTTGCGATTGATGTGTGGTGTGACAAGGATGGATAAAATAAGGAATGAGTATTTTAGAGGGAGTTCGAAAGTAGCGCCAGTGACAGAGAAAATGAGAGGGAATCGTTTATCTTGGTATGGGCATGTAATGAGGAGAGATGAAGAGCATGTAACAAAGAAAGTAATGAACATGAATGTGGATGGACGCAGAAGAAGAGGAAGGCCTAAAAAAGTTTGGATGGATTGTATAAAAGACGATATGAAAAATAAAGGCGTAGGTAAGTGAGGATTTGACTGGTGATAGAGATTTACGGAAGAAAAAGACATGTTGCGCCGACCCCAAATAAATTGGGATAAGGGCAGGCAGATGATGATGATGATGATCATTTTTTGTGGTTCTGTGCACTCCTCCCTGGCTGGATCACTTGAATTATCTATTAATATTAATATTTAAATAAATTGGAAATGAGTACTAAATGGCGGTTCGGCAGCACACAGTCTGGCTATAACTTGACAGTCATGATAGGTAGCTAAATTGAAATTATCAGTACTATATAAGTAAGTACTTAAAATTCTTTTAATCTAATGACGTAGGTAGGTCAGATTTAGTTATCAATATGCTTATATAATCGTAATATGCTTACGTTTTTCCAAATATTTCACAAATTTGAAATTCTGTGATTAAACTTATGAAGAAATCCATTACATTTTGTAAACATATTATACTTTAAAAAAAAAGTTGTTCAGATCTGATCTTTACTTTGTTTACTGCCTGTCTTACCTACAAACGAAAACTGAATTTAAACAAGTAATAAAATAAGAAAGAAGTGAAACGATGAACGCACACGTTTTGTTGCAAAACTACTAGGTAATGATTGAAGATAATCAGTATTCCACAATAAATAAAACGTATTTATTGTCGCAGTAGCTCCATTTATTTTCATAAAATGGAAAATCATTTTTTACAAGGAAATCAGATGCTTTTTTTTTTGTTACGAAAATGTTATACAGTGTGTCGGGCGGATCGATGTAGGCATTTTAAGGGACCAGGGTGATTCTAAGCCATTTGAATTAAATACCAAATTTTAAAACACTTCTCGTGTTAGGTATACAATTTTTGGAAAACTTGCAAAATTTTCCACCGGTAGCCTAGTTGGTTAGGGCGTTAGCAGTACTGATGCCGAAGGTCGCAGGTTCAAATCCTGCCTGCGGTGGAAAATTATGCATTTGAATTAAATTTAGTATAGTACTAAGTCGCTTAGTTTCTTAGATATGGCCAATTTAAGATAAACTGTTTTCAACTAAAAAGTAATTATATTCAAAATGAGAAGAACAACAACAATATTATCATGTTTAGCTTCAGCTCTCCCATCGAGTTTTTAAATCAGACTTTTGACTCCTTTACAGACATATAAGTTCATTTAGCTTTTGTATCTATTTATCTGTCTACAAAATTATTTCTCATCTTTTGATACTAGATTCAACTTCAACTTAGCCAGTATAAGCTGTTTTAGATCCTGTCAAACAGTTTGGGTTTAGCTGAGTTCTGCACCAAGGACGATGAATTTGTTGAAATTTCACTAAAATGTCCTTAAATGGAGTTACTAGAAAAATGCTTGTTCTGTCGTAATTATTGCATTTTTAAAACTTACATTTAATAAGATATTTACAGTTGCTAAATGTAGGTACCGTATAAAACACTGTGGGTAATGACTGTGGTATAAACACAAAAAAATCATATCATAATGAGTAAATTCTTTGAAAAAAATTACCTACCACCATAAATTTTTGGTATTGTGTAGGTAATTAATTAATAAAAGAAGGTTCTGTTTTGATCAGAAGAACAATAACGACACAGTTATTGAAAGTGCAGTGAAGGTATCTAATTGTCACAGATACATAAACTAAACGGTTGTTCCCACTAATATGACATTTTAGATTACACGTCAAATATACGCAAAAATATTTACAAATAGGAACACAGGTTCTGCCTTTTAGTTTAGTTTATTAACAATATTAATCTTATTTCGATAAATTTATAAAAGCGTAGAGCAGCTAAACGTATGGTTTAGGAAATATACCTAATTTGACCCGATGTGACTTAGCGAGTCTAACAAGAATCGGATCTGAACGCTAGAATTGTATCCTATGTTCAATAATTAACTTTGAGTTCGAGTTTCATTATCTTTGGATTGTGATCCTGGTGGTCCTCGATAAATTTTGAGACTTCAAGACCGATTTTCAAGTTTTTATCAATCATTATCATCATGAATACTGTAATTAAAGTGAAATAATAATAGTTTCAACTTTCAGGCTCTGATTTTGAAATTGAGATGGACTCCTCCTTTCATATACATAAAGAAGGTGCCGGCTTCGAGCTCCGGGGGGATGGTGGTACGGGCACTTGGAGAGACTTCCATTTTCTGCAGTAGCTGGAATATCATGATCTTGATCTCATACAGGGCAAAACGGGATCCTGAAAAGGGATTTTTGATGTAAAATTTTGATTAACAGTAAGTGCTGTAATTGAAGGAATATACAAAAATAACATACTTCAATGCATTCGTCAGGCACAAGGAAATATTGAATTCCGAAGTTATAAAAACCAACGTTGGAGTAACGCAAAAACTTCTTTGCAACATCGCGCGTCAGGTATGAGATTCGTTTAACCAGCTCTCCAATACTAAACCAATTTCTCCAAGAAAAATTGGTCAAAGTGGAAATATCGGGCATGATATCGGGTAAAAAAGTGTCGAGAGCCAAAATTCTTTTGTATGCAAGATACAATGTTTTTATTTCTTTTTCATGTGTTACAAGCAGGCGCTATCGCCATCTCGGGTAGATATCAAAAAATCGTTCTAAAAATAATGTTGTTACATGGTTTTTAGTACATGTAAAATGGCTGGTTGATCCTTTCAAATATTTTCATTCTGTTTATACTTGCTACTATTCGGAAATCCTTAACTGAAAGATGACTTGAAGGAGAAAGATATTCTCGAACAGAAATACCATAAAGAATGGAACTTACCGATGCAATTCCTGGGTCCCATACCGAAGGCCGTGTAGGTGGCGGGATTAATCTTGTGTTTGTTCTCCTCAGAAAAACGCTCAGGGTCGAACTTTTCAGGGTTTGGGTAGTACTGAGGGTCGCGGTGCATGGGCCACGTTGGGATCTGTAGACCCTCGCCTTTGCGAATCTAGGAATCATAAATTATAATGCGGGATCATAAAATAATAGATTCGTTTGCGGTATAAAGTTGCAATAAGGGTTTGCATTATCCGTTAATTTTTACTATCCGGATAATTCGGATAATTTATTTTCAAATATCCGGATATCCGAATATCCGGATAAAAAAATATTTTAGAAAAAAAATTAAAGTCGATGAATTTCTAATTAATATGATATTCTAATAATTATAAACGCTAATATAAAACCGTATTAAAATAGTATAACCAAACAAGTTACTCTTTTACGGCTAACCCGCAAAAATGATCTTCATTCAGTTTCGCACAGAGATCGCTACCATATAGGAGACGGACAATTTCTTTATTTTTCAGAACTTGAGGGTTTTAAGTTCTTGTTACAGACCTCCAGGAGCTTGTCTAGGTCTTTAAAAGATGCAGAAATAGCTTCATTCGTAACAAAAGTTGTTCTGCATTATGATCCTCTTTTGCTTGCTTATAGAAAAGGCAACGAGAGCCTAAAATACTCGACGTGGTACAAAAGCTCAACTATTACAGCTAAAGAAACAGATCTATTGCAGTTATTTTTTATCATGAGGGGCTGCTTTCTGGTACATAAATGTAAAGGTCTCAAGTACCTGATTAGGAACACCAGGCGCCCAACTAAACTTATGAGAAACGGAAATAGATAAACTCTATCTCTATAAAAAAAACTGTTTAGTACGATAAACTGATTTGCTATCATGACATCGAGGTTCAGAGTAGCTTGATGACACATCTTCTAAACTATAAGGCTTAAAAAACATTAATAGTAATAGTTGTTCCATATGATGGATTGCGTCTGCTGCGCTGGCATAAAGTCGTCAAGTGTCTATATACCTGGGACGCTAAGCCCATAAAATATCAATCTGTCATATTTCTTTCCTAGAATTATGAAACTTGGTACAGTTGTTCTTTAGGTGCTAGTGAGTAGATTAAGCCCGGTTGACAAGGGGTTCCGCGCCTAAGGGGGGAGGGGGAGGGGGGGGAAGTTTTTTGTCCCGAGTTTCGCTCTAAGCCATATAACTCATAAATTAATGCTATTTATGGCAAGTGCAGTATCAATTTTGGATAAATCATAGACTGGGTATTCATTAATGGAACAAAAAACTCACGTTTTCTAAAGAAAAAATGACAAAAGATATATAACAATAGATAAGATTAATTATACTCTATAATAATATAAAATTTAAATAATAAAAAATCTGGCTATAATGCTACATTGCTATAGATTATAAATATATACAATACATTAACATTTTGTCAATAAAAAGGTGAAAAAAAATCGATTCGTTGGAAGGTGTGTCTTGCTCTATGTCATCGTTTTCATTTAAGATTTTCATGACTATTCTAACACTATTTCCTGTTTATACGGGGTGTAAGGGATGGTGTAACGAAAACTTTGCAGGCGTGCTCAGAACATGAAACTGAACAACTTTCCCCATGGATCATATTATGGTGGTACACGAGTTTTTTTTTTACTCCCCATACAAAACACATTTTTGAAGGTCGGAATCATTGTTTTGGTTTACCACCAATTACACCCTGTATATTGCTGTATTCTGATTACTGACATCTTTATCGCTACAAATATTTTAAAATATCTCAACCCGGTACGAATTCACCGCCCCTGCTGCGACCCTCCATCACCTACGCTTTTGGAGGCTCTATGGTGGTGTTTTTGTGGTGTGTAGCTACTAGCCCTGGTCAACACCTAGGATACTTTTTACTGCGGGAAAAACGCTTATTCCTACGTGAAATACGATTAAAATATACTGTGAACATCATCTACCCCAGTCCATTGGCTGTCAAAAAGTAGAAACCTCTTCTTGAAACCTCCATTTTTTATTGTCTTTGTTTGATTTTGACAAACCGTAAAGACATCAGTTTTGACATTCATTGCCAGAATTACCCTAGATGGGTAGAAGTCCTTATAATAATAAATAAATAATTTAATTTATTTATTTCATAAACTTAACAGCACATACTTGGCACATATTACAAATACACCTTTAAAACTTCAATAGCCAATAACAGAGTTTAACATATTAAATGAACATAATATCATGGGTAAGCTAATGTAAAGAAACTTATTTTGTTGCCTAAGTATTGTGTATGTTTTTAGCCGAGTGGTGCCGGCAGAGTAGAATAGCACCACCCCCTCTCTTCCTATGGGGGTCGTAAGAGGCGACCGAAGGATAAATCCGACCCAAGCTGATCAGGGTCCTGGAGATGGAAAACTCCATACAAAAACGACTCCACGAGTGACTGGTAATAAATCGCGCGGCAGACTTCTGCAGCTGATCTGGCTCCGCACGTATCGACCCGTCGTTCCTGTGGTGTCAGCCAGGAAGGCCGAGAGGGTAGCGCAGGTCCTGGGCAGCCCTGCGTTTTCCATAATTGCGTCCCAGGCAACGCAGTGTCTGTAAAGAGCGTGCAAAAAGCCATGCCGCTCCCATCGGCTTATACAGCCATGAAAAATCTTGCCTCAGACACGGAATAAATTGTCTAACACAGACGTATGAGGCCAATGTTATGATGATGTGTATGTTGTGTGAGTCTGTATGAGTGTATGACCATGGTGCAAAAAAATTTGGAGAGCAGTCCACCCACACCACACCTTATGTGAGGCGGTGCAAAGATGTCATTCTACCTGTAGTGTGAACCGATGGTAGGCTCAAACGTAACGTAACATCCGTTTCATCTGCCGTAGATCGTGCATGTATCTATCACTACAAAACTAAGCGATGTATTTTGATGTTTAGAATGGTTGCGCACAAATATCTTGATCAACATCGGTGATAGATAAGTGATGATAACTTTTATCAGCTTTGGAGGGCCTGTTGGCACACAAGCATCCTTTGGCGAGACGAAGTTCGCGGGCACCAGCTAGTTAAGATATAAGAAAATTGATTTTTAATTCCATAGTTTTATACACAGCTCATAACTGAAAGTTACAGTTATAATAACCTGAAAAGAAATCCATATCGTCAT